GTGTGTGTGTGTGTGTTTGTGTGTGTGTGTGTGTCTCTGCATGAGTGTATGGGTTGATGGCAAGGTGGGCACAAAGAGAGGTAAAATTCTCTCTTTCTCTCTTGCTAAATTGTATTTTAATATGCTATCTCAATGTGTCTATATTGCCTTTATATTTAAAAAGCATTTCTATCCAATAAAGCAAAAAAGAATCTGAAAGAAATGAGTAATAAATCTTTATATCGGTGATTTTTAACCTATTTCGAGTTGAAAATTTAGTGTATGTCATGGATCTGCTCTCCAGTAAAATCCTGTATACATACAGTTACGCATGCGGTTTCAGGAATTTACCTGTCCCCTGTGGCCCGTGAACACTCCTGCTAAGAATAATGTTCTCACGGGTAGTTCTTGGGGCTATGCTGGTTTCTGAGAACAGTCTCTGAAAATCAAATTCATGCTCAATTCAACGAGTTTTTATGGGAGGCAACTTCTGGCATTGGCTTGATACACGTGGAGGTAATACAAAGATCAAGATACGGTGTTTCCTCGAGTGTCAAAGTCTCTTGGGAGAGTTGGGGTGGGGAACCTGCAGCCTTAAGGCCACACGTGGCCTTCTAGGTCCTTAATTTTGGTCTTTTGACTGAATCCAAATTTTACAGCATAAATCCACTTATTAAAAGATGTACAGCATAGAAAGATGAAGCTTTTCTTGCCTCCTTTGGCGCTTAAAAAAAAAAAAAACAATCTTGAAATAAGAAGGACACAGCTTCCCAACCCCTGCCATTGGGGTGGCATCAGGATGGCCTGATGACATATATTATAATATTGATGGAAAGGGCTGGGAAATTATTGCAAGAAGAGATGAATTTCCACCACAGATATTGGCAAAAACTTCTGAGAGGAGTTGGGATTTGAGTCAGATCTTAAATAGAGGTCGAGGAGCCAGCAAAAGGACATGTAATAAGGTGGCAAAGACATTTGGGTGGTAGAAACAGCATATGCAGATGCAGAGGTGAAAATGTAGGTGTTTGGGAACAACACAGCTACCCTGTCTGACTGCAGAGCAAGGTTCATTAGTTACAGAGCACC